CTGGGTGACGCCTCGTCTGGGGATCCTCAGCCCTTCCCATGAGGGTGGCACGGATGCCCCTCCGGTGGTCCTCTTTGGGCTCTCGCGCTCTGGGGCCTCTGGATGTCTGGGGCCTGGATCTCCTCCATGCCTGCTTCATGCCCTGGGGGACGGGGCTATGGCTCCCTACATCCTCTTGCAGACCATTACATGTGGAAACCATTTGAATACAAGCGCTGATCCACACAGGTGTGCACACGGGTGTTCACTGCTCGCAGACTTAAATTACACCTTTCTTGGCTGCTACTTCAAAGCACATTGTGCGCTGTCTGTCCTGCGTGCTGCACAACAACATTGAATATTTAGTATTTACTGCTGTTTACACTTAGCTAGATTAATGTGATGGTGTTGTGTTTAGTATGTTGCTTTGGTTGTTTTTTGCTCGTTTTCTATTCTTTTTCTCTCAACAGGTGATCCAGGAGATTTTTTTTCTCCCCCCCTTTCTCACTGTCCCTCTCCCCTTCTGTTTTTCTTTTCCTTCGTCTTTCTCTCTCTCCCAGTCTGTAACATCTGAAAATAAAATATAATAAATAATAAAAACAAAGGTCGATCAAGATGGCAATGCCATGATGATCCATTTGGCAAAGTAAATCCATTGGGTCTCTTTGTTGGTCTTCAGACAACAATTCTGACAGCTAAAGAACCAAATGGGACAGGAAAAAAGCTCCTCGGTGGCCCTTGAAAAAAAACTGCGTTGACCTGAGACGAACAATTGTTTGTCGGTGCATCTGCTAGCTCCTCCTACTCAATTTAGATAACAAGATCTGATCATAATGTAGGCAGAACGGAGGCAATTAGGACTCCCATTAAAACTAGGCTTTATATGCAGTAGTCCCATAATCACATGTCAGCATCCAGATCAGCCAGGTACAATTCTCAGGTTAATAGCAGAACGAGGTGGGTCAGAAAGCAAGAACAAAAGATCTTTAAATAAAGAAGGGAACAGGATGATACATCCACGTTTCATTTTATGTTTCTTTTCTTTCTCCTCTCTTCATCCATGTGAATCCTACAGATCTGACTCCTGTGACTCCTCCACACCCACACTGCAGAAACAACATCTCTCTCTCTGTTCATTACCATAACCGTCCTCCATCAGTCTTCCCTCGTGGATCAATGGGATGGAACAGCACTGATTACCGTTACGGCCTCCTCACAGTTCATCGCGTGAGCTCTGGCAACTGATATTACTTAATACTTAGCTTTACTTAATGCACAGAAAATAAAACATCACCATCAGCCGAGATTGTCTTTCCATTTATTTGAGAACGCACAAGCGTGCATACTGTACTCCAGGGGTAAACCAAGCAGTTACAAAGTGCATGCCTTTTTCTTCAGATATGGGCCCTGCCCAGATGTGAACAGATGTTTGGGGCCACCGCTTCATGCTGCACTAGAAGATGATGAGTTCACAGAATCCTCAGCAATCTTTAATAAAAACCATTCAAGGTTCTCTCAAACTCTGTGCAGCTGACTATTTTTGTACTGCCGAATAGGCATTAGGTTTTCCAATCTGCCTCATTAGCCCAACAAATGGGGTTTGCTGATGCTTCCTTTGCATAAAATACTAGAACAATTAGCTAATATGTCCCAGCAGAGGTACAGTTAAGCCTGGCTCCTGACTTTTGCTCAACACGATAACATTGGGCTCTCAGCTCTGCAGAAGAACCACATAAACCAGGCTTGAGAACAAAAAAACAACTGGTGATGCACTTGATCAATCAATGGTCCATTTCTCCAGTTGCCCAACTGTGATGTGCTGTGGTGAGGTTTATTTTTGTCTTAGTATGGCTGTGCAAACCAACTGATAAATAACTGATGCAACTTACACTTCGGACATTCTTGGATCTGTACGTTTCTGTCGACGTGCAGGTGTTTGATCTTGGAGCAAGGACACATTGTGGATAGATTTGTTGGCAGTACCGTAAATGAAAATTGACACCAGCATGTAGAAAATCTCTCTGACAGAAGTTGCTGCATGCAGTCGGGCTCTCATCAGTTGAAACATTTCAACTGCTTCATCATGTTGTGCAGTATTTACTGCTTCCTAGTGTGGCTCGTGTTTCTCCCCGCTTCAGCCCAAGGTGCTGCAGGATTAATCTGTGTGAGGGTGTTTTGCAGTTTGCTGCATCAGGCCCTAAATGAAATCGCTCAGAAACCAGTGTAGGCAGCTCTGCAACATGCTGTCATGCCTCTGTGCCATAATCTACCCCAGTGTAGTGTGGGATTTATTGGATCGCACTCAGTCAGTCGAAGAGGCAGCGAGCAGCAGATTGTGCTGTGCGATTTCATAACGAATCAGCCTTATCTCCGCTGCTGTCAGACTTCATCATTGTTCTGCACATGTTACATCATTTGCAAGCTTGAGGTCGGCTTTTTCTCACAATATCGGCTGCACCTGAACGTCCCATGACTCAGGGCTCAGAAGGATTTTTTTCTTCCCTGCACTTTGATTAATCACACGAACCCATATCTGAGAGTCTGACTCACCCTCTATCAACCTCTGTGTGCAATGGCTGCACGTACGAGAGCTTATAAGACAAAGCTATAGTACTATAAAATCTTTCTCCATGAGTCATCACTGCGTTTCCCCAGCCTCATATCTGCAGGTCTAACGGGAGCCTCGCTCCTGCAGCTGCTCTGTGCTTGCAGAGGGAAGAAGGCGATGCTCCATGTTCCTCTGAGCGAGGTGAAAACCATTCAACTGTTAGCCAGAGTGCTGTCCTTCAAATAGGTTTTCCACAGTTGCATAGCAACAGAGATCACCATGGCCAGCACTTCCAATGCTTCGGCGTTACCAGCTACGAAGGAAGTGCCCGATGGACGCACGGGACAGCCGCAAGCCCGCATCCTGTTGCCTACGGCACCGGAGACGAAAGTCACAGACGGCAGCGAGGAGCAGTCATTCAACACTTCCTGATATGATGCGCGCAAGACAGTGTTGCCAGGCAACAAAGCCGATCCAAGCCAACGAAAAACAACTTCAGGGTGACAAAATTAAAACAAAATATGAGCACAAATCAAAAGAGGAAGCTACCATGGTGATCAGTACAGTACACAGTGTTTTCTTTCTGGCCTCTCAGCAAACAACCGCTCCTATTCCAAAAGTATCGGTTGCATAATGGTTTCGAGTCGTCGCTCCACCAATTATCAGTGTTTGAGATTTGTAGCTGTTTAGTTCATCTGTCCCTGGAGTCCCACACGCTCCCGCTTGTCTGCAATTTATAAAATTTTCACTCTGCAGCTCTATTAGCTGATAAAAGGATGAATGTTTATCAGTCCGGTACACCCACCAATCACACTGTCTCACAAACCTCTCTGGTTTGGAGGAGGGAACGCTCGAGTGGCAAACTTCACCTCTCCGACTTGTTTGAGTCCTTTAAAGTAAACCCTGTTCAGCTTGCTCGCATATCTGCACCAGCGAGGAATCAAGCAAAACAGATGTTTCCTGGTCAGACTAAGCAAGAGCGCTTGCACAAAACCTGAGTGAGAGAAGCAGCAAAGTTAGTAGCGATCAAAGCCAAAGATTTACACGAGTTTTGGCAAAGCAGACAATGTAGTGACGGGCTTCAAGCCAAGGTTACGTTTGAAAATTTAGTGATAGGATGCCATATTATAAAAACATATGTGCAATACGTGTTCCCTAGTAGTTAAAAGATTTTTACTGCAAGATTTGAAAGCATTTATTACACAAAGAAAAGGCAAAAGGTGATCTGTACAGACACAAAGAGATGTGCTGGGGGAGGTGCACCCCCTCAGGATAACTGTGGCAATATGGCATCCCTTATTTTTCCCCATGAAATGAAAGGAATCTCAAGAACTACAAGGCACTTTTCACCATTTTACCGTCAGCTCTTTGCCTGGTTTGCCATCTTCTCGTGCTACCTTTGGCCCTGCTTGTAGTAAAAATACAGTGGAACTTACAATTTGTGGTGGTGGAGGGTGTGGGCGTGATGGTTGTTGGCAGCGTTGGCTCTATGCAGGCGCTCCAGCCTTTCCTTCTCTTTCTCCACAAAGTTGGTGTTGGTGCCAGTGCTGGTGGAGGGCATGCGAGTCAGCCGGCTGTGGGCTCGCGGCTGATCCCTGGGTGGAATCGGAGGTGGAGGAGGAGCAGCCGGGGCTGAAGAGGAAATCGGAGCTGGAATTTGGGTCAGTACAGAGTGAGGTGTTGGGGCGCAGGTTGGAGAGGGAACTGGAATTGGAGTCGGAGCAGTGCTGTTGGTGCTATTATAGGAGTGGGAGTGGTGGGTGGAGGAGTGGTGGTGCACCTGATGATGCTGGTGGTGGAGGGGGATGGAGCAGGGAGGCTGTGCCGGAGCCTGGTGCTGGCTGTTGTGGTGATGGTGATTCTTTGTGGAAATGGAAGCCGATGTGGTCTGAGCCAGCGGCGGTGGTGGCGGAGGAGGAGGGAGAGGAGGCTCGGGAGGAGGCGCAGGTGGGGGAGGAGCAACGGGCTGCCGGTCCAAACGGAGGTCCTTGTTCTCTTGGCTGAGCCGGTCCAGCTGGACCTCCAACTCCTCAATTCGGCGCCGCTGCGTTTCTAAAAGTTTCTGCTGGCTTTCGATGATGTTGTTGAGTTCAAGAAGATACTCCACGGCCCGGTTAGGGCTTTCTGGACTGCCCTGGCCTGGGCCCTGATTAGCATCCATGACTAATAAGTCTGAAAGGTAGCACTCAAGCTAATGGCTAAGGAACCTCAGGCTAAAAAAAACAAAACAAAAAAGAAAAACAGCTATGGAAATGCCCAGTGGACAACGGTCACTTTTAGCCTAAATGCTGTCACAGTTGTTTAGATTCAGGTAATACAATTCAAGGCAGCACTGAGTCTAAATGCTAAACTTCCGCACCAGATGAAATGCTGCCTGAGTCACAGCTACTGCTAGTGCAGAGCCAAAGGCTAACTCAAAGAGTGGTGACACAAATAAGCCACAGGGCCGAGGATACAACTCCCTCAAACTGGCTGAACACAAAGAAGAACTTGGACCGGATCTGAAGTTACGCAGAGCAGAGTCGCCTAACTCTACAGCCTAAAGCCTACTGTGTGAAAAATAAATCCTAAACCTTAAAACAAAAGTACCCTTCACCCTCCCCCCCACCAGAGGTAAGTGGGGGGGAGAGGACTTTTTCTTCTTCGAGTTCTGAATCAGAGATCAAGATGGACCTCGCCCTCGCGTGCTCCAAACACAGAGTTTTATTGAGCTGCCGACCATTCCCTGGTTCGGTCAGGTACTCCTGCCGGGGTTCAGACCCATGACAGTTAAAACCAGAACGAACGGGTTAGAGTGCGAGATTGCCTCGTCTCGCCAACAGTCAGAATGGTCCGTTAAACTTCCTGTTTTTCAATGAATCAGTTGAATCCGGACTCTGCACTCCATACAGCACATCAGAACATCAGTTTCCCAGAAGCAGGTGTGGAAAGCACAGCTGACGGGGGATTTGCTTGCCCCTCTCTATTAAAGATATTGCATGTTATCATTGCTGACTCCAGTCTATTGAGATCTTGTGAAACTAGTCATTTTTTCCACCAACGGTCCACTGGAGCCGTGAACTGTGAGTTGACTAAGCATCGGCTTCCCTGCAGAGTCTCATAATCCTGGGGTCAGAAGCCATGTGCTGATTTTCCAAATCTCACAGTCAGCAGATGGTTATGTTAGCTCAGTTCAGACACTCGCCATCATTAATATGACCTGGGACCGAAGTTGTAGAAATCAACGCAACTCAAAAAGTGTAACGTCAGTCGAAAATCATCTTCTAATGAGCATGGAAGAGCAGAGCTTCACCTCCTCCTGGTCCATGGACTCACCAGCAGGCCTCAGCCTGTCTTCCTGCAGTTGCTCTGTCACAGGAGGTGATAGGTAAAGGTCAAAGGTCATGTTAAATATTGGTGTTCTTCCCGAACGCTGCGAGACATTTCGGTTTCACCGTCATCACCATAATCCAGCTGGATGGCACTTCTGGATCCTTCTTCCCGTCATGCAGCCGTTACATGTAAAAGAAGAAGAGAAGGGAAAAGGCATATAAGAAGCAGAGTCAGCAGGAAACACCAGCATTGATGCTCACAGTCGTTTCTTGTCCTTCTTTCACAACCTGCTCTCTGGTCCGCCTTTCATCATTACCCCTCTTCTCTCTTGCCTCCTCCTTTCGCTGCTCTCTCCCTGATCTTTCTTTTCTCCATGCTTTTCCTCCATCTGTTGTCTTTTCAAATCTCCGGCCCTTCCTGCTCTCTGACAGAACAGTTGCAAAGAGTGTGAGGTCTCTCAGCCCATAAATACCAATGACATGCTCCGTCTCGGTCGTGAGAGACACGAAAAATGATCACACACACCATCGGCCTCTCCTCCTACACTATCGCTCATCTGTCTTTATCCACCTCGTTCCTTCCATTTCACTCAGCTTCAGATCTTCTGCTAACCTTCTACGTTGTTCTTTTTGTGCATCAGAGCAACACTGAAACACACAAACACAACATGCTCGAACGGCACAAGCTTCCACAGTTTGGTTATAAGCAACAAATTTCAGCAAGAAACAGCCAATCACTAAGCTTAAAAACTGAGAACAGCGTGTTGATAACAGTGGGAGGAAACAAAAGATAATGCTGCTGAGTAAACTGATATCACCATCTGCAGCGTATATCACTTCAGTCTTAATTTCAGGCTTTCAGGGGCCGCTTGAAGGCTTATACAACAATATAAGTTTACAACAATACACAGCAAAGTACTCATCTTTTATGTCTCACAGTGTGTCATAAAACCAAAAAAGGTATCATAGCAGCTTTAAATTAGTGAAAATCATTAATAAAAATTTGATAAAAGGAACTGGAAAGCTGTTTGTTAGACATGTGAATCTTGTTCGGTGAAGGTATCGTGTCCCTGCAGGGCTGTGGGAAAAATGACCAGCTCACTATATTTGTTTCTGATCCTGGGAAATTATTATTATTTATTGCGTGGGTAAAAAAAAAAAAATTAAAAAAAAAAAAATCACCTGACAGGACAAAAACTGCATTCCAATAACTCCAATTAAGAGCGATGGTGTCCAACATGCAGCTCCTGGCTATAGCTACCTGCGATGATGTCCACCTGTCAGTTAAGGTGGACACACCCTTAATGATGGAAACGGTTAGTTTCAAGGTAATTCAAAAAGGCGGGACATTAAAAAGGCCAGCGAGGTGCTGCTGCCTCACATTAAAAAGAAGTTCCATCTGTAGGTCTGCGAGTGAGGTGTCTTTGAGACTGTTGCTGTGACCACGGTCACTAACGAACTGGACTGTTTAGTGACACCAAACTGCTAAACACACTAATCAGCACAGAGAGGAAAACAAAATGTCTTCACAGAAAACTGAAATTATCTGAATGCATTTGTGGGTAATGGCACTTTAAACACTTCATACTAGATTGATCTTAGGGTCACTGCTGTGCTTTAGAAGACATTTCAGCCATAAGGACTGCACCATCACAGCCAACGTCCTTGTTTGCATGGCTGTTTTGTGAACGTGTTCCCTGATCTACTGGCATCATGGAGCGTCTTCCTCCAACCTTAAAAATGACCACTAACTGCATAATTCCCACCCAAACGCAGAGCTGATCCTAAACCTAACCCTAAGCCAAGGCTTTACCCTCACACAGCCTGAAGGCATGTGGGAACCAACAACGTCCACACTGACGGTCTAACAGTGAAACCGGTCCTCAGAAGAACAGCTCTACATGCTCACACACGAGCGCTCAGCCTTCTGGTCTCTATTGCAGCGCGGCCAAACAGTTTCAGTTTTTATATCCCTTCCCATTAAGCACATTCAATTATTCATGGCTCACTAACTGACCACCATCCCTCTCTCTCTCTGCACATCACTGCTTTATGTCTGCTCCACACAGAGCGTTTGTGTGTAACTGTTCACTCACACAGAATAGGTTTTAAGTTTGTTCCTGCCAGTTATCAGCTTTGTTATGAAGCCGAACTTTGAGGACAAAAACTGACAGTGTTTCTGTTGATGACAAAGGAACTAAAGAGGAGTGAGTTAATGATGAACAACTGAATCATTAAACATTTCTTTACAAAGAAGTTGATGGTGGAATTGCACTTTAACCCTTTCTTGGCTGTTTGAGCGTCTAAACTGTTGAAGCCTTTGGCACTGGCTAGACAAAGGCTGCATCAGAAGACTTTAAGCTTACTGAAAGATCAGATGGTTTTACTCGTTTAATTAGCTAACATAGGATAGCTGAAATGGCTAATTTCTTACTCTAACATATTAACAATCATCCTTAGTTAGCCCAGCGGATCCTCAAGCACATCCTTCTCTGATTGTCCATCAGAGGTTATAAGAGGAATAAATGCTTACAAACTAACAACAAAAAAGTAGAAGCAGTCCTCTTTTACACAGTGACTTCATTAACGGACCAATGATCAGATGTGCACAGCAGATCTGGTGTAAACAGTGTTGCATTTAGCAGATGAAGAACCAATCGTGTCCCTCGATGTAAACCAGCACAGGCCATCATTACTCACTTCAATCACAGTTTGCATCCATTTATTCCTCAGTCGCACTGGAACAATCTGTGGATGCAGTGATTGCGCTGAATGTCTTTGTATTTGGTGACTGACAAAGTAGTCATGGTAACCAATTGGTTGAGTACAGGTTAACCATCTAATTTTATTTTATTTATATGGCACCAAATCACAACAACAGCAACCCCGAGGTGCCTTTTATTGTAAAGACTAGGAGTGCAACGATATTCGTATCGATATTGAACCGTTCGATACAGTGCTTTAGGTTCGGGACGCATATGTATCGAACAATACAACATTTGTAATTTATTTTATCAACTTTTCTTCTGACGATGCTGTCTGTGTTGAACGCTCAGTGGATCTGTGTTCGACTACTCCGCCTAGGCTGCACTGTTGAGCGCAGATCCACTGAGCGCTCCACACAGACAGCATCGTCAGAAGAAAAGTTGATAAAATAAATTACAAATGTTTTATTGACAGAAGCTAAGCTCGTTGCAACATGGCAAATTGAACCTCCCCCACCCTCATTCAGATCTGGCGTTTGGAATTATTTTGGTTTTCATGTGACGTATGACCCTGAAGGTAAGCGAGTCATGGACTAAAGTAAAACAGTATGTTGGATGTGCCACGCAATGCTCAATTACATGGGTGGAAGCTAGTGTGTTAGCGCAGTTAGCTCGTTAACGTGTTGGCCGTCCAGCCCCATGCACGGGGCGATCGGCGGTAGCTCGTTAACGGAGATTTGCATTGTTGTGGCGTTAACGTCATTTCAGATTAACGCTGACAGCACTAGTGGGAACACAACGAATATGACTGCACATTTACACCGACACCATCCTAGTGCAAAGACAAGTGGAAGCAGACAAAAACAACAAGCAGCATGCTACAAACTTTACCCGAGTCATTTAGACAGCCGTTAGCACAGGATTCTCCTTATGGGGACCTGATATGTTTAATATGCTGCTGAGAATATAGCCCAGAAGAAGCGTATAGTATAGCTTTTATTTTGAAAGAGCCATTTCTCTGTAATAAACTCTTTTCCAAAGATGAGTGATTCCTCCATCAGATAGATTTATTATTTTATCCCTTTGTTGTTTCAGCAACATTAAATTTAAAAACTGTACTTTTGAGTTAAAATATATATTTATAATTTTAATAAATGACAAATTAAAAAGGCATGAACATTTTTTTGTATCGAAAAAACATTGAACCGTGACACCAAAGTATCGAACCGAACCGTGAATTTTGTGTATCATTGCACTCCTAGTAAAGACCTGAAAATAATACAGAAAACACCCGGGCCACCCGGCCTGTTGGTGAGGCCTGGGGGTCCATTTTAACAGGTGGGAAACAACCTCCAAACAATCAGACTGACTCACTCTCAGCCAATGAAAACAACTCGTCAACAGGGGACTTCATTCAACTGGTTACTCACTGGCTGTATTCTGGTAATATATTCTATATAAAAGAAAAGTTGCTCATGGAATTTTGCAGTTAAACTTTTCCTGCAGCAACTACGTTGTCTATGATGTTCTTGCTGTGAATATAATATATTATGGAGAATTCCTGTACATGCAGGTGAGTGCCTTTCCATGTATTTGCCAACTTGGCAACATTCCTTTGCTATCTCATTAGATCAGGGGTGGGCAACTCCAGGCCTCGAGGGCCAGTGTCCCTGCAGGTTTTAGATGTGTCCTTGAACCAACACAGCTGATTTAAATGGCTAAATTAGCTCCTCAACATGTCCTGCAGTTCTCCAGAGGCCTGGTAACGAACTAATTATGTGATTCAGGTGTGTTGACCCAAGGTGAGATCTAAAACCTGCAGGACACCGGCCCTCGAGGCCTGGAGTTGCCCACCCCTGGATTAGACTCTTATTGCTGTTTTTTGCCATCTTTATGCACCACAGTTACTTGAAGCAAATGGCTGTAAATTGTCACAGACTCTGTCTCTTTCTTCAGAGTAACCATTTCAAATTCAGTAACTTTAGCTGTGCGGCGATCTCCAGCCACTCTTCTTTTTGAGTACCACTATAACATTAACTAATTGCATCCCCACATTGTCTTTCTTGGCGCCGTTTGTATTGCATCCACAACTGCTGAACCCAAGTGGTCAAAACAATCACTTATTGCAGGCTTAAGTGAATTACAATGACTTTTTCAGATTTTATAAAACAAATCTGGGGATGCATTTTCTGCATGTGTCTTGTTCTTTGACTCAAACATCATACAGCAACTCAACCGTCACAGAAGCTTGAGAGATTTAGAGACTTCAAAAAACCAGCAGCACGTCTCCAAACACAACACGCGGTGGATAGCTTCTCTTCGTTCTTTGTTTATTATAACGTCTGTTTTCTCTGCACAGGAGCCAAGCTAAAACATAAGCAGCACAAACATTAAAGGAGACCACATTACCTTTCCACATATTTCTCACACTGCCCCAAGTGGTGCTACACAGTTAAAACA